AAGGACGAGTCCAACATCCCCGTTGCCGCCGCGAAGCTGGAGGACGTGTCGGACCTCCTCGGCGGGGCCCTCTTCCTGCCGCTCTTCAAATGGATGAACGAGTACGGCCCCATCTACCGCCTCGCCGCTGGGCCAAGAAATTTCGTGATCGTCAGTGACCCGGCCATTGCCAAGCACGTGCTGAGGAACTATGGCACGAAATACGCCAAGGGGCTTGTTGCAGAGGTTTCTGAGTTCCTGTTTGGCTCCGGCTTCGCAATTGCCGAAGGCTCTCTTTGGACGGTACTTATCTAGTTATTACTCTTGTTATTATACAGGTTCTTGATTATAATTGGATCATCTGGGTTTATTTTATCTATGGAGTTTCTCGGCCGCAAGTCAAATTAGGATCTGCATTTGCGTTTTTTCCCCCAAAAAATCCAACCTTTTTGGAGATGATTTGCTCGGAGCCAATGTGGTTGTCTTGCTATAACATGGGTTAGTTTTATAAGAGACTGATTCAACATGTTTCTGTTCGAATGTCTTGAGGCTAAAAGATCGTGCTTATTACTGAGTATATCGACTGCTTAGGTGAATAACTATTCTGATTATAGGTAAGGCGGAGGGCCGTGGTCCCATCTCTTCACAAGAAGTACTTATCGGTAATAGTTGAACGGGTCTTTTGCAGATGTGCCGAGCAACTAGTCGAGAAGCTAAAGCCGGACATGCTTAGTGGCTCTGCTGTAAATATGGAGGAAAAATTTTCACAGCTCACTCTCGATGTTATCGGGCTTGCATTGTTCAATTATAATTTCAACTCTCTCACAGCCAATAGTCCGGTTATTGATGCAGTTTATACGGCTCTAAAGGAGGCAGAGCTACGCTCGACTGATCTACTGCCATATTGGAAGGCACGTGTTATTCCTTGAGTAGGAGAACAGTAATGGTTTTTTCTTTCATTTATTAATTTGTTATGTATGATTCTGTTTTTTTTTCTTCAGATAAATGCTTTGCGGAAAGTGATTCCTAGGCAAATTAAGGCTGAAAAAGCTGTGTCTTTAATAAGACAAAACGTTGAGGAACTGATTGGAAAGTGTAGAGAGATAGTGGAGAGTGAGGGCGAGAGGATAAATGAGGAGGAGTATGTGAATGATACAGATCCAAGCATCCTTCGATTTTTGCTTGCTAGCCGGGAAGAGGTATAGGGAAGCTTCCAAGCTGACATGCGAATCTCATACGGATGTGGAGTATTTGTCATTTATCGTGTTAATTATTAATATCCAAATTACTTTCATATCCATCTCATTCATGCTTTTTCTTGATTTTACTTCTAAAAGAAAATCTCATTCATGTTTTTTCTTGAGTTTACTTCTAAAAGAAAATGGTTTTCTGAAGGTGCCATAATGTTTTTTCTTAGGTTTCGAGCACCCAATTGAGAGACGATCTTTTGTCCATGTTAGTTGCTGGTCATGAAACGACTGGATCAGTGTTAACTTGGACGGCTTATCTACTTAGTAAGGTGATAGATGTCTGTTTGTATCTCCTTGTGTTTCGATGTTCATAGCATTTGTAGTTTTCGCATTTGAATGGAGTTTTCATAAGTTCATGGTCTGAGTTAGCACAATTATAATTAATAGTTCCATGATTAATGCCTGGCTTGCTCATAACTCATTTTATTCTTTCATTAATTAGGACCCATCATCTTTAAGGAAAGCACAGGAGGAAGTCGATAGAGTTTTACAGGGCCAGCTTCCCACATACGAAGACATAAAGAATCTCAAGTTCTTGACCCGCTGTATAATGGAGTCTATGCGTCTATATCCACATCCACCTGTAATTATTCGCTAAAAAGCTTGTTCCAAAATTTCCGTAAGACGTGCTTGTCGATGATCTTATATCACTTTCTTGGAATATAAATTTCATTAGGTCTTGTTACGAAGAGCTGAGGTGGCAGATGTGCTACCTGGCAACTACAAGGTCAATGCAGGTCAAGATATCATGATCTCTGTGTACAATATTCATCACTCTTCGCAGGTATCCGACCTGAATTATCCAGGATAACTAAGTGCAGTTGGAAGTTCAAGATGCAATTTTTATTCATTTTTTTTTTTTTTT